AAGGATAGTTGAGTAATTTTATTAGTGTTTTGCTTGAGCAATTTCATACATTTCAAACACTGTTTATCAAATAACAATGAATACTTCATGAGTTTTAGTTATTGTTCCAAGTATTTTATGTGTAAAAACAGCCCTTGGAGCAAACCTCTGTGTTGTGATGTGGCTAATAAAGGACAGAAAGAGCAAATCATGTGGCCAAGGTCACATGCTTGAGCTGGGGACAATCACGTTCCAAGCTCAGGCAAGTCTGGATGGAATGCCTCAGCTCTTGACCACCTGACCACCACTCGGTACTGCTTCTATTAGCTTCCTATTGCTGCTCTAACAAATGACTGTGGACTTCACAGCTTAAAAGAACCTGTTTATCATCTTAGAGTTCTAGAAATTGGGAGTCTGAAGTGGGTTGCATAATAAAGCTGAAATGATAGGCAATGAACTTTCTTAGGATCTGTGAGTTAACAAAACAATCAAATCTTAGAGGGGTTGATGTCAGGTTACCCTCTAACAATACTGCTTCAATTTATTTGTATCCACAGAATACTTACTGTTACACAAGGTGCCCTAGTCATTGGTTCTGCAGTACTTGTGGACCCCTTTGTGGGGAAGCCATCCTGTTTCCTATGCTATCTTAAAGCTGTGACACTGTGTAAGAAGATACACTATTGGTGGGCCTGGAAATAGAGGCGCCCTCCCAGCAGAGAGGTTTGGACCAGGCCTGCTAAGATGATAAATTCCACCAAAGGCCTAGGGATGCCTCTTAGATATGGCACTAAGGACATGTCACCTAACTTCTTGGACTTCAGTTTCCACTTAGAAAAATGGGGACAAAACTATTCTGTCATTGGATACAGTTAACAGCATGGACATGAAAATGCTTGCAAATGATAGAAAAGGTGTGTTCTGATTCCTTCTGCTCCTTATATTCTGCCAGTGGTAAGGACAGAAGTTGATTGTTATTACTCCCAGATTTATTTATTTACAAGTTTACCAGCCCCTTATAAACAGAGATTAATCATGATAAATAATGTGTGTTTATATTTGTTTTACACATTGCAAGTCATTTAACAAATATGATTAAATATAATTGCATCACATTATTAATCCTTTTAATAATGTGCTTTATATATTATATGGAACCATCCCCAGGAAATGGAGGCTATGAGAGATTTCAGTGCTTGCCTAAAATGGATCACCCAGTGATTGTGCAAGGTACAGAAGCAAGACTCAACAACAGTTAGTTCAATAAAGAGTCTAATCTTTATACCGCTGTAGACAGCTGATCAAGTTAGTGGAATACCAAGACACGAAGACATGTAGATTTGCTCCAAAGACTCCTACAGCATCACCAGGGAGTCATTTGTAAAGATCTATAGTCTCTGAGCATTTAACAGGATGAAACAGGAGTGACAAGTCCTCCTCTAGTGCTAATTATGGTCATGGTCCCTACCCACCCCCCAGTCACTGCCCAACCCCCCATTGAGTGGTGGGGAACTCAGATTACTGTGTAGCAATACATTCACCACCATTGCACCCTAACGTTGATCTAATACCTTTTGTATGTCAGGGCAACCCCTTAAAGGTTGTTTCATAGCTGTTCTGTGAAGTGGCTTTCGATGAATCTGAGAAGGTTCTGACTCTTCATATTTAAAAAAAAATTCTTTTCTCCCAGGTACTTGAAATGCCACCGGTAGGGAAAAAGAGAAAGAACATGTTGACTGCTTATGCTTGGTTGGTCCCATTGTGTTTCTTTGCCAGTTATTCAAGCATGAATACTCTTCTGAGCCTCAGCCCTGTCATGGCCAAGTGGGTTTCACTCAGCCCATCATCTTCCTCACTGTGGTAAGGGCTTGTTGGATAAAGTCTCACACTTAAACATTTTGCCCAGAACTTGGCTCTATTGGAAATCACCCTCCTACTGTGCCTCTCTTCCAGCTGTGCTGTCTCACCTTCTACCTGGGCATCCACCCATGCTCTCAGAGCTGCTGCTGCTTGCTTGCGCAGAGCCCTGCTTCCTCGGGCTCTGCACGGGCTGTTCCCTCTCATCTCCAAGGCGGCTAATTGTCTGCTTGGTCTCTTACAATTATGTCATTGTGATCACCAATAACCTCCTTGTTACCAATCTTATCTCCCTTTTGGTCTAGAGCTCTTTCACCTTTCTGAATCATTGGACATCTGAACAACAATCATCCCCAGTTGCATGAATCCTGTAGTTATTTATTTCTTGCAAAATTATTCTCCTGGCTTCCTTTGGTGTTAGCTATGGCCATACCCCTGCCTCTCTTTCTACATCACTGCTTCTGATGAATCTATTCACTGACTTTTGTTTGTCCTTTTGACTCCTACTTTGTTTTCCACTCTTCTCATTCTTGCCTGTAACTCCCACTTCACCTAGATCCTGCTGGATGCCTGAAATGCCAGAATCAAACTTTTCTATGAGTAATCACCTACTGGTCTCTAGACCTGGAGTGCTGATTATCTAAACACTGGGGATTCACTGGATATGACCCACCTCTGGTCGTTATCACCAGACCATTCCCCAAAGGGATACTTGATTTGACCTTTTCACAGTTGATGTGCATTCCTCTTCAGCAAAGCTTCCCCCTCCCCATCTTCCTTCATCAGGTCAGAGGTCAGAAGAAATAGCTCCTAGCTCCTTCTTCTAAGTTTCTCCAGTATTTTATTCAAACCTCTAGTCCTGGACAGGCTGTTAGCGCTCACTGTCTTTGATTTTTTTTCCCCTATGTGCTCCCTGGGGTCCAAAATGTGGGGACAGGCTATCCAGGAAGAATGCAAGCAGCTCCAGAGCCCACGTTACTCACTGGGGCTCTAGAATTCTTCATCTTTCCCATATGGGGGTCTGATTTTACCAAAATCCATAGCTGCACTAAAGACAACCTACATTTTTGTATGGATAGTAGTTTTTTTTCTTCATAGTGAATATGGCAAATGTACATTTTGCATCTTAAAGGGGGGTTTGTCTATGTATTCAAAAGGCAGAGGGGTAGAGACAGAGAGAGGGATATCTCTTTCATTTGTTTGTCAGTTGGGTCAGGCAAAAACTAGGAACCAGAGATTCTATCTGGGTCTCCCACATGGGGGATAGGGGCCTGGACACTTGGACCATCTTCTTCCACTTGTTTAGGTGCATTAGTGAGGAGATGTGTGGGAAGAGGAGCAGCTGAAACTCCAATTAGTGTTCTGATATAGGATGGTGGTGTCACCAACTGCAATTGAACTTGCAATGTCATAACACCTTCTCCTAGAATGTACTCTTAGTTCTTTTCCCAGCTCTTACGGATTGAATTGTGTCCCCTCCTCAAAATCTGTACCTTGAAGTTCTAAGCCTTTTGTGTTGCAGGTGTGACTATATTTAGAGAATATATTTTTACAGCAGTTCAGGTAACATTGATGTCTGCAAGTGGATCCTAACCCAAAATAACTCATATCAGGAGGAGGAGCAGAGATCAAAGTAGAGAAAATGCACAGCCTGTGGGATTCCCCATGGCTGGATGCAGCGATAAGGAAGCCACGTGCAAGCTGAGGGGAGAGGCCAGGGAAGAAGCCGAGCCTGCTGACATCTTGCATCTAGACTTGCAGCCTCCAGAGCAGGGAGAAAGGTTCCTGCTGTGTAAGCAACCCAGTTTTTAGTGCTTTGTTACAGCAACCCAAGCACACTGATCCATTAACTTTGTGCTACTCACCAGTTTTGAGGAAAAGGAATGATGCTGCCTTTGGACATGACATTTAAAAACAACACTTTCTTCCCTCAATTTCTATAGCTGGGTCAAAATCAGAAAGTGGGCCAAATAGGAGATTTGCGTATGCATCCTCAGCCACAGGTTCTTGGCACCGAATGCCTGTAGCATTCCTGCCTATTGCTTCTTTACTGTCGCCTTCCTATGCCCTCCTCCTCTCACCAAGGTGGACTTACTCACATGACAGCCCACCCACTGATGGACTGTGAGATGTGCAGCTTGATAGTGGGGGAGATGGGAACGCCTTGTTCAATTTCTGCCTCAAAGTGGTTACACATAAACAGTTGGGTCTGGAGACTGAATCATCACTAGGATTTAGAAAGGAACTGTCCAGGTGTGCATAGCATGAGTGTTTTGAGCTGCTCTCACTGTTAACAATCTGGTTTCACATACCCAGATGATTGGATGTCATAGACATCAGAAGGAGGTCAATAAACTCAAGCTTTAAACTTTGACGGTCATTTGAGCTGAGTAACAGTTGAATTTTAGCACTGAGTTGTCATGGTGAAAAATGTTAAAGAGGAATAATTATCTTATAACTTGGTTATTGTCCTGCCAACTCCTAGCAGTATCCCTAAAACCTGCTTCTCTCTCACCAAGCCAGATCATACTAAGTCATGCTTGGAAATATTATTTTCTATATTCTTTTATCTCTCTCTATATTTGCATTCATTGCCCATACACAAAAAATATATTTGAATAAATATGTATTCAGTGCTGTTAATGGGGAAAAAGGCACAGGTGGTTTAGTTAGCTATAAATTGCATATTCTGAGAAAAAAATACTAAAGTACCATTCAAGTATTCTCAAGAGCCAGGTGGTAGAGAGATGTTAGCAATAATTATTTTTTCGGTTTTACATATAGGACAATCAAGCCATTTGTTTCCATTATTTTTGTGGACTAAAATGTTCAGCTCATTTCTCTTGGGTAATACCATACATTTTCCCTCTTATTAATCCATAAAAACACCATGGTGCACTTTGCTAATCAAAATTGCACACTGCATAATAATTTGCAATCTAATAAATATAAGCTCCTTGCACATTTTGCCAAATGTTCATGCAATTATTAGAAGTTGCTAATACACAAAATATAAATTTAAAGTAAAGGGAATTATAAATGCATCAAAACAATGAGAAAAAAACTTAAATAGCAGCTTATTTATTTTAAATACAATGTAATGCATTATTTAAGGAAAATTCCTAGAGTGTTTTCTCTTTTTAAAGATTTACTTGTTTGCTTTTAAAAATATGAAATGCTTCATGAATTTGCATGTCATCCTTACACAGGGGCCATACAAATCTTTTCTGTATCATTCCAATTTTAGTATATGTGCTGCTGAAGCGAGCACAATTTATTTGTTTAGTTGTTTGCTTCTAAGAGTTATAGAAAGCGGGAGAAGCACAGAGGGAGAGAGAGAGACATAGACATGAGGCATGGAGAGATGGAGACAGAGAATGAGAGACAGAGAGAGAGAGAGAGAGAGAGAGAGAGAGAGAGATCTTTAATCTGATTCACTCCCCAGATGGCTGCAATGGCAAGGGCTGGGACAAGCTGAAGCCAGCAGCCAGGAGCTTCTTCCAGATCTTCTTCATAGATCCCAGGGACTAAAGACCCATTCTCTGCTGCTTTTCCCAGGCCATTAGCAGGGAGCTGGATCAGAATTGGAGCATCCAGGATACACACAAATATCCAAATGGGAGGCTAGTATCGCATATGATGGCTTTGCCCACTATGCCACAAACCCAGCTCTGAAAGCTTTCAACATATGCAAAGAATGACAGTCCTCCCACCAAGACCAGAAAATTTTCAGGTGGTGCTATTAAATGGAGAATAGAGGAATGAAATAAAGATAATTGTAACTATTCTTTTTCTAATGCATGTAAAAAGAGAAGAGAAAGTTTAAGTTAATGTAAATGGATTCATTCATGTTAAGGACACAGTGGTCTCTCTCCCTGTCCCCTATTGAAAGACGCCGCAGAGAACATACAAATGTTGGACATTGTCTCACTGGCTGTCAATTACATGGCAGGGGGTTCCCGGAATTTGAGCAAACTAAAGTTTACATGACACCTGAAAGTGTCACATGAAGCTGAAGAAGTTTAGAGGACTAGTGCATAGCTTTTTTTTTTTTTTTGCTGAGAATAAAGTGACAGCAGAAAGTTCAGAAACTTGCTTTCAAGTGGGCATGAGCCGGGTGACAAGGCAGCATGTCCAGCTCTCACATGTGCCGACTTCCCACCGATACCAATGACAGTGGAGTGGCTCTGAGTTTTCACCTTGGAATTGATGTCCAAACCCTGCAGAGTGCTAGAAACATTGTGGTGTGTGCCGAAGCTTCCTTCCTCCAAATGGAGACACAGCACTTAACAGGGAGTCAGAACGCTCCAGGTCCCAGCTCTGAACTCCCACCTGCTGAGACTGCTTGAGTTTGTCAGTATGCATATATGAGTTTTCTCCTTGGTGTTAGAACATAAATACTGACAGTGTCACAAACCAGGGAGAAGGTAATCCACCTCATACTGAGCTATAGACGTGATAAAAGTTGACCACCCTCCATCTAAAAATTATACAGTGCAGTGTGATGGCACTGTGGGTTGGGCTGCCACCTGGGACCTCCATGTCCCACACTGGAGTGAATGCTGGAGTCCTAACTTGCTGTGCTTCCTGCCAATGCTCTTGGGAGGCAGCAGTTAATTGTTCACACACTTGGATTTCTGCTCCCATGTCAGAGACCTGGATAGAGTTCCTGGCTGTTCCACTTTCCATCCAGCTCCCTGCTAACGTGCCTGGGAAAGCAACAGAGGACATCTCAGGGCCTAGGGTTCCTACCCTCACCTGGGAGATCTAGAAGAATCTTCTGGCTCCCAGCCCCCATTGTCATTGCATTTATCCCTCCCTCTCTGCTACTGTGACGTTCATTTTTTAAAACTTGCAGAATATTGCATTTCAGACAAACCTCATGGAAAGATAGCAACATGAGGGATGGACATTTGTTACAGTGCTTAAGGCTCTGCTTGAGATGTCTGCCTCCCATAGCCAAGTGCTTGTTGAGTTCCAGCTCTGCTCCCCATTTCCAATTCCTGCTCATTCACACCCTGGGAGGCAATAGGTGGCGACTCAAGTACTTGGTTCCCTGTCACTCATTTGCAAGACCTGGACTGAGTCCCCAGCTTGGCCTAGTTCAGTCCTGGCTGTTTCGGGAGTAAAGCAGCAAGAGAGATCTCTTAGCTAGTCTGCCAGTCTCTCTATTTGTTTCTCTAATTTTTCTCCTTTCTTAGTTATCTTAACACCTATTTTAAAGCTTATATAACTAGCAATAAAATTAAAAGAGTATTAATACCCTTGAAATTGTTAAACACAGAGTAAAACAAAGTAACACATAGAATAAAGCAGGAATAAAAGACATCACAAGGAGAGCTTAACATAAACTAAGAAAAGATTGACAGTAGTGAAATGTTAATAATATAGATGTCAAACTGCTGTGTGAGAAGGAAAGCGTTTCAGACTATGCTAAGTCACAAAAAATGTAGCAATATATTGCTCAGAAGATGCATCAAAAATTAAATGATCCCCAGAATAAAAGTATTGACAGAATTATTGGCTAAAAATAACAAAATAAGTAATATGTGGGGATGTTAGTTTTATATAAAGCAGATTTCAAAGGTAAAATGCTTTTTAGTAATATTAAGGAGGAAGTTTTAAAATATTTGTAAACAGTTCCCATAAAGCATTTTCATATGATAGGCTTTTCATATGATAGGCAATATCATAGCATCAATTACAGGAAGCACTGCCATTATTTTAGGATTCATATGATCTGAAAGGGACAAAGAAAGAGAGAAGGACAGAGAGAGAGAGAGAGAGAGAGAGAGAGAGAGAGACAGTGAATCATCCACCGATTCACTTCACAAGCGCATACAACAGCCAGAGTTGAACCAAAGCCAGGAGTCAGAAACTCATTCTGGGTCTCCTACAGGCAAGAGGGAACCAAATACTGAGCCATCATCTCCTGTTGCTGAGAATGTGCAATAGCAGAAGGTTGGAGTTAGTGTCCACAGTGGAGCCAGAACTCAGGTACATACACCATGATAATAGATGAGAACATCTTATGTCCAAGGCTAGAGCCAGAGCTGACCTTTTTAAAGTTTAATGAATAGAAGCTCATTACAAGGAAAGCTTTAGGACATGCCAACATCAGTGTACTCATTCACTAAACACAGAATTCCAGGATACACTGCAGGCAAGGCACTGGCATTTATTCACGCTGCTGCTCTTTTGGTTTCACCAGGAATGGATCTCTTCCCCTTGGCGGTAATATTCCTCCTTGGAACCATCAGGGACAAATCAAACACCTGCAGGAGCCCTAGGTTCCTGTTTGTTTATTGTAACGTGAATGAGATAGTCTTTCTCCACTCTGCTACACATTGCTGGAGTGAAGTCATGCTGGTTATTCAGTGATGTCCTTACAGTTATGGTTAACAAAAATCAACTTAACTATTCTTGATAGAAGACAGACAGTAGGATAGAGAAGTAGCATATTGGGTACCAAAACACAGGTAGAAATAATCGTTTCAGGTCCTTCACAGCACAGTAGAATCCTTATAATCCATCATAACATGTACATATTATAACAATAATTGGGAGCGTGAAGCTAGTAGGCTCCAAACATAACAAAAAGATAAGGAAATGAAAATGCTGTCCGATCTAATCATATTGTGATATATTCTGAGATTGAAATATAGTGTAGCACCCACAGAAAAGGCGTAAGTGTTGCATACAGGTTAATAAAAAAAAGGAATTCATATGTAATCCCAAAATGTTGCAGGGCAAGACATCAGAATGGCAGGCACAGCAATATATTCAACTATGTTTCTATGCAGTGTGTGAAGTAAACTCATTGGTATTCAGAACATGACCTTCTTGGGTGCTCAATTGAGATATGTCTAAATACATACAAATATACAAGGGGTCTCCGTGGAAGATGCATACTGTGAAAAACTATGCATGAATCTTAAAATGTTTATGGTAAAATAAAATTATTTTAAATCACATTGCCATAAACTTTTTGAAACTTACACTTATGGTAGGACAACCGTGCACTCAAGGAAAAAAGCCATAAGGGTTGGTGTTGCCTTCCAGTGAATAACACTGCAGCCCACAATGCTGGCATCCCATTTGGGTGCTGATCTGGATCCTAGTTGTTCCACTTCGGATCCAGTTCCCTGCTGATGGCCTACCTGGGAGAGCAAGTAGAAGATGACCCAGGTGCTTTGGAGACCCAGATGGAGCTCATGGATCCTGGATTTGCCTAACCCATCTCCGGACATTCTAGATGAAAGATATCTCTCACTGTCCCTCCCCTCCTCCTCCCTTCTGACCTCTCTCTCTTTAGTTCTTTCTCCCTCCCCCTTCTCTGTAACTTTTACTTTCAAATAAAATAAACTCTTGAAAAAAGAAAAATATATAAATATATGAATATATAATATAATCTAATATACCTGTTATGGTATAGATACTACAAATATTTAAAAGAAAACAATTTAGCTTTTTGAAAGTGGATTTGAAAGAATTGTCTGAAAGGGCAAAGATATCAGCTTTATTTGCAAAGTAGATTATTCTATATCCAGAAAAAGCAATAATCATCAACTAGCAAACAGGCCCAATGGAATCAGTAAAAACTCATGAGGAAGTCACTTTAGAGTATATAAACCTCTTTCTATTCTTAATATAGAAAAAAGGACTGATGCACTACAATAAAATGCATCTGATTGTAAGAATAAACCTAATGGAGACATGGGACTGATGTGAGGCAACTACCGAATGAGAACCAATCATGACTGTAAGGATGTAGTGCAGTTGTCAGTAATATGAAACTGTAAACTCTCCTCAATTAAAATATGTCACCTGTCAGTTTAATAAGTCTATGATCCATTAGTTCGTGCTGATGTCTCAGAGGAAACAGTGCAGCCCCTTTGGAGGTCATAGTCCCTGTGATCTCAAGACCTAAGAGCAAGGGTCTGGTTCCCCCTGCTTGAAGGAGAAGCAGACCCCCTGCTGGACCAGATTCATACTAGTTAAGGGACCAAGGATGACTCAGTTGGCCTAAGGCTCATCACTGGCTCATGTGATACACTGGCAAACCCAGGGGACACCTGCCAGATGCCTCGGCAGGACACACTGGACCATATAAGGAGCAAAAAGGGGTGCTAGCTAGAATCTGCAAACTTTTCACCTATAGGCCATAAAAAACATAAACATTCACCCCCTTGATTAGCATGTAACTGTCCTTTCTCTAACATAATCTTAACAGTTCAGAGATGGGCTGTTCTCCTACCCTTCTGAACAAGC